ATTCCCAGCCAAATGATGCGGTCAACTCTGTTGTCGAGACAGAGCTTTCGCTCGTTTGAAGATTGTAGAAGAGCCTCTGGAGTGTCCAGGCACTGTTCTCTCGCGTCGCTTCTGCCTCCGTGGGAATTTGGTACACGGCCTTCACATGATAGTCAATGTCTGTAACAAGAATCTAAGAAGGGAAGCCCTTACCTTGCGGAAAGCATTTGTGAAATACAAGGATTGCAGCAGGGAGTTGAGGTAGCACGTTGCGCCCTGGTTTTTCAACCCCACCATGCCAGTCTCCTTCTTCGAGTCGTAACTAGGTCGAGTAAGCCTCGTACGACGCTGACTTATTCAAGGCAGTACAGTACATACTTTTGAAAACTGTGCCAGAGTACCCCTGTCGGGTCCTTCACAACACGCACGTAGGCAGTGACTTTAGCTTCATCATTCTGCACCAGGGGGACTCCACGGCCTTCCCACGGCATGTTGAAAAGCCTGCGCAGCTCACAGAACCTGGTAAAGCCCCAATCGCCCTCGTCGGCGTTGAAACGGTGCGTAGCGACTACAATTTGGTCAGAAGGACGAAGCGACGGGAGCACAAGGGCCACCGAGGTACATACCATGAGATACGTAAATTGATGGGTCATTGACGTTCCATAATACAAGAGCAAACTGGACGCACGCATACCAGTTTTCCGGAGGCTCTTTTTCCCAGGCATGCTCCAAATAGAACGACGCATAATCGACATGATTACCGTAAGGGAAGAAAAGAACCCGCCTGTTAACCAATGTCAGACGGCGAGAGCAACCGGAGTGCTCTTCAAATCCTCTACTCACCATGGGAATCCCCCACACTGGAATACTGGTCCATGTTCCTTCTTTTTCAACTTCCGCCAATCCTGGATGTGCCATGTGTGGTATGCCTCGTCCGCGGTTTCCAGGTCCGGATCCTTAGGAAGTATGCGCGCCATCATTGCCGGAACTAAACCAGTGCTTAGTACAATGCTTTCGAGTCATTGTGAGGGACGAGGTGTGGAGATCTAGGCGCCAGCAATTGACTTTTGGATATTCGACCCTTGCGCGAGGACCGAGGTACCGATCCAAAGCCATCTTGAACAAATGTGGGAAAGTGTATAACATCTAAATGGCACGGTAGACAATCTTACAGTCATCCGCAAGGGGCTCTGGTTCCGGCTCCTCTGATCCGGAGCGAGAAACCACGACATCATCTGTCCTGTCATTGTGATACTGCTCATATTCATCGACGAGCATCTCATTATCCGCAACCTATATGACGAAAAGTACACATGTCAGATATTGATAAGCAATGTTTCAGCGACTCTGGATCGTTCCTCTTCTTTTTTATGCGGAGACAGAAATGAACGGGGCACTGACGTTGTCCATGAAGAAAGAAAAGTGCGCTCAAGCACGTCACCTGAAAATACCGTCAATCAAGGACGCGTTGGGGAGCTACCCAGGAAGCAAACAGAGGAGAAGGCGAACAACAGTCAGAACAGTGATAAGATGAGAAGAATATGAATAAGAGAGTGACACAAGACAATGAGTAAGTGGTGAAAAGAGATCTGAAGGACCAGATTCCGGTTCACAGGAGATGAGGCTAGTGGCGGAGTTTCCAGAACCCAATAAAAACAGGTGGGACACTTGAGACCGCCTATGAATAACGTCGGCTGCAGAGTATTGCTCCAGTACAGCAATCTAAACGTAGCACCTGCAGAAGAGATGAATGAGGATTAAGTGCTTAATTTGTCTATGTCAGACTTACTGGTTGGCTAATGTTCTACTGATCTGTCTTGCATTATCGCCTGTGTAAATTCTCACTTAGGTAAGCTTAGAACAGGTTAGTATAGATGCCTCAAGCTTGACGGTATAGTCTGGTGTAGCGACCAACAAGGCGTTGAAAACTATGTTATTCTGTTATCTTTTGACTCTTACTTGTCAGCACTTTCTTGGTATCTATTATCTTGCTCCTGGTATCTCAGAGTGAGAGCATGAGAAAATAGAGTGCACAAAGGTAGACCAACAACTGGCTAACTACATAACTAGTTGTGTCCTCGATTGTCACTCGTGATGCACGCCCCAGGCAAAAGCCGAGGAATAACTCGGCACCGCAGATGACTAAGCTGGGAATGGATGCTGCAGCCACAAGCCTATCTAGTCATGTGGTAGGCTTTGTAGCATGGATCAATCCATTGTCTCTCATCACGTAATTCCTAGGTGTCTTTACTTTATTTCATATCAGAAACCTGACAATGGCTTAGTCTTCTAAAGATATGCTCCGACAGCGATAGGATATAGACTGATCTTCAATGCACTTACATTTCTGTTGATGCTGGTTGCTGAAGATCAACAAAAGCAACTGGAAGTCTTCATGGATAGTGTCGACGTCACATGTCAGGACGAGCACTCACCGCCCTGGATTAATTGTTTGTCACTGGTACCTCTACTCACCTACTCATAATTTATTTTACATATCCAGCAAGATGTCATGCCACCAGTGAGAGAAAAGAAACTGTTGGTAGCTGCTAACTGCAGATGAGCCATGTACGAAAGACGCTATATCTGTCTTATACTGGTCAACCGTCCCGGCTGAGTCAAAATCCACTGCGGAGCCATATCCTCGAACTTTCAAGCTCCGTTGCGCCTTGAGTCAACCGCCGCATCATGCAGCGAAATCAACCATTTCGATGTTGGCATGCGCTTCGACTGAGTTGCAAATCTCGAGTACGGTTCTACTCCGGTGTTGACAACTCACATAGCCCACCTCCGTGGAGACCTGGCTCCATTCTCGACGAGTATGCCATCCTACCAGCATAACTACAACTGCTGCTGACTCTATGCGTGACAGATGGGTCGAGCGCGAGATTCGGCCTATTAGTCTGCGGCAATTGACCTTCTTTGGGCGGACCTTAACCGAATCACGCCTTATCAGTTCGGCAAACTATGTGCGAACAGAGCTGCCAACCAGGTCAGTATGCGCTTTCCCCTTGCATGCCTTGAGCCATGCCGGCCTGACTTGCGTTTGTGATTGCCACAACCAGAATTGCGCATCGACTGCGAGACATCCAGAAGCTGCCGTATGTGGTTGTAGCAAATCCACATCTTTCCCTTGTATATGAGCTCTACTACAAGGCATTTGAACGGTTTCGCGTCATACCGGAGATCAAGACTCTAGAGGATAACGAAAGATTCTGTGACATCCTGCGTAAGACCCTCAAGGAGCATCTCGTCGTGATCCCGAAATTGGCAATGGGCGTTTTGGAGTGTCGGGATCTTGTAGCACCAGGCGTGATGGATCAATTTATGAACACTCTCCTTCGATCGGTATGGAAATTGCCAACATCCGGATTTCCTACCGGTCTTTCTATGCGAGTGGCTAATTTGCCCATGATCTCTAGAGAATTTCCCGTCGGGTCATTGCAGAGCAGCACTTAGCCTTGACAGAAACTTTCAGTTCTCCCTGGCACTTCCCAGGCTCGCAGGACCGGACTGACATGAACGCAGACTTTGTTGGCGAGGTATTTCTCAAGTGCAATGCGAAAGAGGTGATTGAACGTTGCGGGAAGCTTGCACAGGATATGATGCGGCAAAGCTCGGGAACAGACAAGATCCCCGAGATCCTTGTACAGGGACATCTCGAAGCAACTTTCCCGTATATTCTGAGCCATTTAGAATATATCATTGGCGAGCTTCTGCGCAACTCGATCCAGGCTGTCATTGAAAAATACAAAAAGTCTTCTGAAAAGCCTCCGCCCATCGAGGTTCTTATCTGCGAGGCGCCACAACATGTGATCATGCGAGTATCGGATCAAGGGGGAGGGATACCCCGTGAAGTCATGCCATATCTGTGGTCTTTCGACAAAGGCCCTCTGAGCAAATCACGACTCCAGAATTTGAAACAGGTCCCTGCGATGGCAGCTACGATGCAAGAGCTGACAGTGTCCAAGGAACGGAAACACGCCGACAGGGAAACATACCGAGAGGGCTCGCTTGACTCGCTCACCTCTCGTCCACCTAATCTACGACTTGGAATTGGCCTTCCAATGAGCAGGGTCTATGCAGAATATTGGGCAGGCAGCCTTGAGTTACATAGCCTTGAGGGCTATGGAGTGGATGCGTTTTTGCAGATATCAAAGCTTGGCAACAAAAACGAGCAAGTCACCACAAGAGCATCTATTGATGCTGTTTGATTGTTAGGAGACTAATGTGCCGACCCATTACTTGGACCTCATGTTACACCTCACGTCACACCTCACGTTTGTTGGTGTGGAATATGGAAGAAGCATGAGTCGAAGGAGTCGAGAAACTTGTTGGATCGACATGTAATGGCACGTACATGGGCGCACTATATAACCACCACTGCAGAGTACAGAAATGTACATTCATATAGCACTTCCTGGCTAGCACCTTCTGTCGGTCGGTATGTCCGAAACAGGAATACCCCGTAGCAAATAATGATCCGCGCTCGGCACATTGCGGGATGACATCACTGCTTCATAAAGGCAACTATGTTTCTGCCTTCAGCCCTACTGTCAAGTCTCAAGGTTTTGGACAATTGCGCTGTCCTAGTTTTGGCCTATTGTATGATTGAATCATACTCTTTGGTGGCGTGGCGGTTGGCTGCTGATCCCTCTTTCGCCTTATACAAAATGATGCGCCTCAACTCCTCTATTGATGACAACACTCCAATCTACATATTTATATTGTTGTTCGCGATCCTATTTCTCAGCTTCCTGGGAACTTCTTGGAATTCGAACAAATCCTCAGTCAAATCATCAGAAACTTAGCAGAGTAGACTCTCCCGGGACAAAATGGCAAGCACGGCGTCAATGCTATGTTTGATTTTGGTCACTCTCTTCAGTAAGTCTCCTGTTGCTCTTCTTTACACAGACGAAATCCCATCAATCAGACGGAATTTAGCCTGTTTGATTTGATTTCGTTCTAGCATCACTCCTCTAACCTAGATTTGGTTCCAAGTACCTCCTCTCGGCGTACTTATGATTTCGGGTTGTAGTGTGGATTTCTTCATCAATATTCTGCTCACGATCCTAGGGTGAGTGAACGTTTTCTCAAGATTTTACACCTGCAAGGCAGTACCTTCTCCAATCAGCCGTCCTTCGACGTCTGAGGCGTATGGAACAGTCTGCTGATAGACATAGATACTTCCCGGGTCACATCCATGCTTTCTATCTGGAATACGTCTACTATCACAACCGCAGTACGGACCCAATGACACGGAAGCGCGCTCCCGGGGTGTATTCGCAACGCATTCTACAAGGACACGATGAAAGATCATATGGGAGCACTGTTTGAGCGGTTCATCGGAGTACGACCGATTCAGGATACGAATGTCGAACACTATAAGGACTACCACGGGAAGAGTGTAGGGGCTTGATGCTCAGATGATGCCATGTTGCTTTGCGAATGGGTTTTCCCTTTTCTGGACTTTGACCTGGCCCAGCCCTGTATACCAGTTTCATTGTTATGGCCTCTTTAATTTCATGTCTACATTCTTATGGTTTCTTACGGTTCTGGAAGACTCGAGATACTTATAATGGATATCTTAGCAAATGAAACTGGCATTGAGAACTGCCCTTCATTGTTCGTCGACATACTGCTAGACTCTAGGCCGTCTGAGCGCCCGATGCAGCTGCTTTAGTAGCAGAGGCCTTGCTTCCCTTCAAAGCAGGAAAATCAAAAGCCTCGCTGCTGACCACAGTACCAGCGGTCCGGGGCACAGCACCGGAGCCAGGGCTCCACCACAACGCACCAACCCAGGGCTGCACATTCCAGCCCACAGAGAGCGTCACGTTCTTGCGCTCCGCCAGCTTCCCTGTAATGTCACTAATCTGGTACTTAGCCCGTTGGTTGCTCAAACGGAGCACGCCCGGCGCGGGAGTCTCCTTCTTTGAGGCCGAGGTTTTCTTCGAGGCGGAAGTGCTTCGCTTCTGGTTCTTGCGGGCCGTGGAGGACGATTTGGCCGGGAAAAAGCGCTGGAGCAGGGCATTGAACGAGTAAGGCGATTCTGGGGCGGAGATAATAGTATCCCAGATGATGGACTCAGAGTTGGGAAGAAGAGAGGACTTCTTGTCGGAGGACGAGTACGAAGCGTAGACGTAGACGAAGACTTGTTTTGTGTTCCAATTGAAGAGCGAGGAGAGGTCTGAGAGGTCGAGATTTAGCTCAGGAATCGCGAGCGAAGATTATCAGATACGTACCAGCATTCAGATCGAACCTGATCTGGGCATACTCTTCCTTCTTGGTTGAATAGTAATTTGGCCGACCCTTGATTCTACAAATTAGAAAAGCCATTAGCAAACAACATCCGGATGAATTCAACTCATCAGCAAACGTACACCTGGACATTTTTCAATGCGACCTCAGCCTTTGCATCATGCGCAGGATACAGCAGCACCGACAGCGCAGCGACTCCAGCAACAAACAAGGCGACGGTGGTGAAGAAGCCAAAGACGCCCTGCGCTCTGTTCAGGGACGAGTGCATCTCGCTTATTTACACTGATACTCCAGTGTGATGAGCTGTCTTTAGTCTAACGACTGGTTAACGGAGAACAACAATGTAAATACTGCTAAGCCGCATAGAAGCAATGAACAGGAGAGCCAGCGTCCCCGATGATGCTTGAAGCCACATGGGCCTTTTCGATGCGGGCGGTCAATAAACAGTGGCGCAGTTACTCGCACTAGCAGTGTCTTATCGATAAGCGGTGGGTCTCCTCTTTCTATCGGGGGATTCCCCTCACTGAATCCACGAGAATAGAGATGAGATCATGAGGCTATGAATCTGGATTCTAGAGATCATCTGTCAAGAAGCCTCCTGCAGCGGAAGCCAGTCAACCGTTACAATTCCTCAAGCCGCGCCTTCTTCCCGAGACGTATCCCGGAAAAGTTTCCATTCCTCAGCACATCCTACCAGCTACCTCACCAGCAACTAGTGTATGGAGTAACGAAGTACGATTGAATACACACCAGACAACCCAATATGGGCGACCACGTCCTCTTTTTCTACGGTGAGCTGTCTATCCACGACCACTCATTCTGCACGTACGCAAAAGATAAACATTGCTCGCCTGACGCCTCTCACCTACCCCAACCAGTCCTTCCAGCACACCAACCCAACTACGTAAACCACCAAATACACAGACGCATACTAACAAACGCAACTCAGGAACCCTAATGGCCCCGCAAATCCTCCACAGAGTTATCCACGGCCGCCCGGACCCGGAACCCTGGCAAAAGGGCATGCTCTCGTTCAAGCCCGCCATCCTGCACGGCTACCGCCGGCACCGCGTCCGCGGAGCCGACTACCCCGGCATCGTGCCTTGCCCGAACGATATCAAGGATAAAGATTCGACAGGAGAATCGGGCAGCGCGTCCGTACTGGGGACTGTCGTCTCGGGGCTGACGGACGGGGACGTGCACCGGCTGGACGTTTTCGAGGGGTCGGAGTATGTTAAGGAGAGGGTGAGGGTGCGGGTGCTGGCGGAGTCGTTGAGTGTGGGTGGGCGGCAGGAGGCGAGCATTGCGAAGAACCCGGATCGGCACTTGAAGGATGTGCTTGATGCGGCTGGGGCGGAGTTTGCGGATGAGAGGGAGGAGGTGGAGGCCTTGACGTATGTTTATGTGGCTGGACAGGATCGATTGGAGGATGCAGAGTGGGATTTCGAGGCCTTTAAGAGGGATAAAATGGCGTGGTGGGTTGATGCGGATGAGAGCGAGTGGTGACTTGGGTCTGAGATGGACGATCCTGAACCCAAATGCCGAAGTATTCAGATATATCATACTATAGAGAACAGCCAGCATACAACCTAGATCTTCTTCGTTCCGGAAATCTATATCTAAGACAGCCTGAATGAATACATGCCAGATTTATGATGGCAAAAGTGAGATCATACGTATGCAACTAAGTGCTCGAATCGAAAATAACAACATAACTCATATGCAATGCTTGGTATCTCATGCATTCCGCAAAACAAATGACCTTCCCTGCCGTAATCCGAAACACCAAACAAGAGAGAAAATCGTCTATGTGTGCTTTCAAAGTGAGATAGAGCCGCGCGTCCTCTCAAGTCTGCTCAAACCCTTTTCTTGAGCGACCTCGGGCTCTTTCGAACACCATCCGGCTTGTCTGTTGACAACCCCGGCGGAGGCGTCCCAAGGACTTGAATCTCAACAATGCTGCCATCCGCTGATTGATGAGGTATCTGTATTCGCTCTGCGTCTTCATCGACAGGTTTTGGACCCTGAGGCCGAAATGGCGCTTGTCCGCTTTGAGAGTCTTCGACGTGAAGGAGACAATGCGACGTGACATCCTCCGGTTGCACTTGTTCTTGACTGTCGGGGACCTCGACAACCTCCTTGCGAGTAGTGCTCCCTGATGCACTTGCTGCCAACGTTTGAGGCGTTGATCTTTTCGCTTGCGCCTTACTATCTGGCGTACCATCTCTGGACGAGCTCCTAGTCACGGACCGCGACTCCCCTAGTTTTGCCTTCTGAGCAGGCTCTAAACCGGACTTCTCGAGTGGTGGATTTCTGCTTGGCGACTTCTCGGATCGCGTTGCCGATGCATCCTCCATATTCTCAGCTGCAAGATCAGTCTTTCCTTCAGAATGTCCAAGGAGATAAGATATTGGCTGTCGGTCCGCCATGGTAGCCCTTTCAGCCGCCTTCTCGCGACTCAATTGTTCTTGTTCATCATACAATTCGTCAAGAAACTTCCGCAATCGAGAACGAAGAAGCCCTGACCTTAGAAGAGGCCAATCGTCCTCCACCCTCATATCTCTTCGGAGCAATTTCGTTACAAATGTGTCCGGATCCTGTACGAATTTCTCCACATATGCGAGCAGATAGAGGCCACAATCCGAGTAGTTGGGCTGCAATGGGATTTCTTGAGCTTTCATCCCCTTGATCAGGGTTGTGTCAATCTCGACCCCACGTTTGGATTGGGCCTCTTCACGGAGATAGTTGCGCAGGACGCTGATGGTGGGAGAGCGTGACAGGTTTAGTGAGTCAAACGTGATGACCGTCGGCTGCCATACTTCATATCTCGGACCCTGGCGCTTTTTCTTTGGCTTCCGTGACTTTTGACTTCCTGAGACCGAGGATTGGCGGGCATCTTGAGAATTGACCTGCGTGGAGGGCTCCGTATCTCTTGGAGGACTCGAGAGCTTTGCGGGAGAGGATACGGGGTTCTCCTCTTTTTCTGGCCACTCTTCGTCAGAAGGAGGTACTTCCAGCTCCCCCCTCTCCTTCATCTCCTTTCGATCCAACAAGCTCATGGCAGCCAACGACTCCCTTGCCAATTCCTCCTTTTCCGGATTTGGTACAGAGCGAGCGCCAGTTTCGGCCCCTCCGCTGTCGGAAGGCATGCTCCCAACGGCCTGCGGCGTGTTTGGATTCTCCGAATCGTCACGCTTTGGTAGCGCTGAAGGCTCTGTGTCTCCTTCCGCATGTTCATCAATCACCACTTCGTCCTTCACAATGCCCGGAAGTTTCGGTAGATTGCATATAATCGCAACATACCAATGCGCTGCTTCATTGATAGGAACCACGATATAATCGTAACTGAATATGTCGACGTTCCTCGTCCATTTTTGAACGCCTTCGTAATTGATGCCTTGCTTACCTCTAGGCAGGTTCGTAAGTGTTGCAAAGAAGTACGAATTGAAGAAGTAGACTCTTTTTGAGACTTCCTTGTTGTTTCGTTCCAGATGATCCTCCAAGAAGCGTATGTAGAAGCCGATCAGGTTGTCGTTCAAGAACTCGTTATCTCGCAGTCGTTCAAGATCTTGACCGTTAACTTCAGCCTTCTTCTTGCCGAAACGCGGGTATACAAGTGGCCTATCAAGTCCATTAATCCTGCAAAGCAATGATTGGAGTGAATAGTGTTCAACAGACCTCTGCCACTTTCGGGAAATCTTTTCGCATTGCTGTTGAGGCGAGTTTTCCTCTTCATCATCGCTGCGACGCCAGGTTAGCAACATTCTTTCTAGAAGCTAGCTCATACTCACGAAACCACTGTTGCCGGCAGCATACGACGCGTCGTGGACCTTGTTGCACGACTGGAAGCTGTGGCCTCTCCTGTGTACTTCTTGACTGGTATCTCCACCGCCTCTTCAGTACCCGCTTTAACAGAGGTTGCTTTCATCGTTTCATCGGAAGCTGTCTCTCGGGACTTTTGCGCAAGTCCAGAACTTGAGGACGAGTCTCTTGGGCCGGATTGCGAAACTACGTTAGGTTTGAGGTCGTTTTGCAATGAGGCTGAAAGCTTTGGCCGTTTGGATACTTCAACTGTGGTCTCGGAACCTTGTTCGGGAGCCCTCTCAGTGCATGATCGCTTGATACCGTTCAGATACCTTCCTGAAGTTTTCGTATTTTCGTTTTTTTTGAAGGCATCATCCATCCATTTACTAATTTGGTGAGCATGGATTAACAGCTTCAGTGGGAGAAATACGTACCCATCCTTTTCCACGACTTTAGCCCCACTGGCGGCGAGCAATGCGTAAAGGTCCTCCTTGGCTTCAGGGGATGTGAGATCTATATCCACCAATTGATCACCGGTACCTTCTCTGAGAGCGAGCCTAACTTTACAGCTTGGCGAGGTCCCTCGAAAGATCTTGAAAACTTTGTTGAAGGGTATCTGAAACGAATTCGCGGGGTCGGGCCCGGCCATTTTGATTGTCTCATTGATTGGATCAACATGTAGCTCGACAGCCTTGTCGCCCGAGGAAGGTCCTGTGATAGTACCGAATCGAACAGAGGTTGCTTGAAAACACCGGTCGGCACTAGGACGTGTCCCAGATTTGGTAATCTTGCGCTTGAATTTTCCTTGATGCGACGAAGGGACGAAGACAGTCGGTCGGATATCGGCTGGTGAAGACTTTCTTTGGGCCACTTGCTTCCCAGTGTTAATGCCGCCCCTGACGTCTTTCTTACGAAATTCGCGGGAAAGGTCCTGGGCGGGCTGCACCGTCGCCGCCCCTTGCAGCTCATCTGGACTTTCTCGCGACTCTGAGTCTCTTCGTTCATTCGTCGGATGACCGTGAAGGGACGGACTCCCGGACCTATCGGGTCGCCGTGGCTTTTGGATCTCAACACTCTGAAGAACTTCATGCTTCACACTCGGTGTTGAAAAGCGCCTTTCCCTGGCAGCATTTTCAGTGAAGCACTGCTCGAGTTCGTCCTCCGGGGAAAAGCGATGGCGAAATCTCTTGGCCCCTAATTTGGGGCTAACTTGCGACCTCGTAGCTCTCATATTCTTCTCAACCTGTCGAAATTCATCAACTGCGTTGCGGTTGGATCGCTTTGACTTATGAGCTTTGAGTGACTGTTGGCTTGATCCGGGCGACAGACGTGCGGTGTTTCCAATGACCGAGGACGACCCAGTGACGGAATGTCCTGTTTCATTATCATCGGAAAGGTCGATGAAACTTTCGGTTGGAGAGCCCTGAATATCTCGACGCCGGCGCTTTACAGGTCTCTCTGAAAGGTCATGCTCTAGAAGCGTTTGCGGACGAGGTATATTGACCCCAGATAATGTCTGATATCCCCCGCGGTTTCCCTGCATTCCCCGTGCGCGTACCGGTCCGCTCTCTCGAGCTTTGGAAGAGAGCTTGTCCACTGGTTTCAAGACACCCTTGACATTCTATTAATACTCAACGTCAGTCCAGTCCTAAGAGAATGGACGCATTTCGAGAGCACCATACCTGCAAAGGGTTCCTTTTCTTAGATGTCTCTCCCGGGAATTTCTTGAATGTCTCCCCAGGTACTATCGCTACTCCATTCGGACTTGGACTAGAAGAGAGTCCCAAGAACGTCAGCTCCCAGCCGCACAAATATTCCGAACATATAACGGCTTCTTGTGACGTACCGTGTAGAATAGGAAGGGAATAATCTCTGCTCGTCCTGGCGCAAAATTGCGCGATCCCGTCGCATCGACGCATCTTGTGTAGACCTGTATCCTTCGTATAAGCGTTGTCTAGTCCGTATCCGAATGACGAGGTTATATTTACAGACGACTCATCCCTAAACGTAATCGAGGAATGGTCTGACGTAGTAGTAAACGTACAGGTCGAGTTTCTGAGGAAGGTCGAAATCTTTCGGCATAGCGATGGAGATTCTAAAGCATAATATCCAGTAAGTCTCGTTTACGTCGCTGCAAAAGCAGAATGAAAAGGATCATGTCCAAAGCGTATCATGATTATTCAATGTATACGCGAGAGGGGATAGGAGAAAAAATTGGAACAATTGAAAGGGCATAATTCCAACTCACATCGCGGGCCTGAATAGGTGGTTCAATCCCGGATTGAATGACAGGCGCAAAAGACCCTAGACGAGGAGCATCGCTTACGCCGGACACCTGAGTCCGTTGTAGCTCATCAGAGGTGGCATCTGATGGCGGAGCGGGGATGTGATTCTGACGATTTGAGCGGCGACTGGGAGAAATCAGCGGAGCCAGAAACTCGGATATTGTCCCAAAAAGTGGCATGTAAAGACAGCAGGGTTCATCAAAGTTGCAGATGATCTACCATACTCCGAATTTCATGAGGAGCGGGCAAGAAATAATAAGTTCGGAAGCAAGAGGACATTATTGGAAGAGACCAGTATCATATCTTGCATGGATAACAAGAAAGGCGGTCGGCCGGTTATTTTCTGCCCTGCGGGTAAAAAAAAAGAAAAGAAACAGCACGCGGAAGCTCAGTGATTCCGCATCGTCATCGGGTGGAGATCATTTGAGCAAACAGACCAGGACTACGTATCCTACACGTGAAAAATAGCCTCTGACTTAGGCTATCCAAGCATGATCTCATAGAATCCATGGTAGGCTAGTAGTGTACGGAAGCTTCGTGTGAAAGTATGATTTTACATTTTGCGCTTGATCCAGCGCTGTCCTTTGACCTGCATCACATCTCGTATTGCCCAAAAGAAAAGAGAAAAAAGAAACCATGGGAGCCTCGAGATGAGAAAGAAGAAGAAACACAAGTCGAGAAATGAGAAAGCAACCAGAAAGTCAGACGCAATGATTCGCCCCAATGCCCCGAGCCCAGAAACGTCCCAATGTTTTCGTCTTCCTTACTATACAGGACCATTCTATGAGAATCAAACCATGTAAATCAAGACGCCGCCGCTTTTCCTTTATCTCCCATGGACTCGTCATTCACTGTAGGTCTTCGTCGGTCCCCTGCGAGGTGGTGGTGATGATGGCCCGCGTTTCCGGCCGCCTTCTCCTGGCGAGCCTGGTCAATTGCGGAGCGCTGAGCAATACTGTCGTCGTGGCTCTTCCATACAATGTTGGTGTCGGCAGGGAAGGCAAGAAGCCGCTTGATCGTCTCCCTGCGCAGAGTGAGTGCCACGGGCCTTGCCAACCAAGAGTGAAATATGATAACTTACCTGATCTTGATGTTACGCCCACCGTCAATCCGAGTCCAGACACTCAACACATCCTCTCCGCTCCTTACACTGAGAACAGCGCCACAGACCTCATCGCTAGCCTCCGCGAACTGGTCACCAATCATGGCCAACAAAAGATCCTCCCAATACCGGTCAGCAACTCCCTTCTTCAGCCGAACAATCCACTTTCCACCCTTCTTGTTGGCATCGTCCTCCCATACAGGACGGATGCCTTTCTTGAAAATGTGATAGTCAGAGACGGTGGGGAGGAGCGATGGGCGCTTGAGATGTGTGTATATCGACCAGAAACTCTCGACCGAGGATATAGACGCAAGGGGAATGGTTGACTTCTCATAGTCAGAGTACTTGGGTGTCGGGGGACGGTACCAGATCACCCACGTAGACTTCAGAGCATGCTCCTTCGGGCCAGTCAAAGAGGAGGCTGAAGCCTTGGCCTTGACTTCCGTTGCCGAATCCTGCTCCGAAGCCGTCTCTCGCTTCTCCCCCAGCGCTTTGGACGAATTCAGGTCTGACGCATTGGTGCCAGGCGTCTTGGGAGTACCAAAGGACGCGAATGCGCCCGAACCCAAGCCGAATGCGGAGGATGCGTTCGTGGAAGGAGAAGACACGCCACCCGAGAGGGGGGATAATGCATTGAAGGGATTCGATCGACCGCCGTGCGAGCTATCCGGGCCGAAACGCTTTGATGTGTGACCGCGGGGAAGATCGACTTTCGCGCCACCGTCCTTTCCGTCGGTTCCTGTCATGGACAGAGACAATTTGGCGGAACTGAAAGACACACGACACAGGTTAGTCTTGCGCCTAACGGTATACCTTGCAAATGATGAAAATCTTGGACATACTTGGCCCTGCGAGTCCACAAGTTTGCATTATCCATGGCGCTAGGTAATTAGACCGTCGAAAAGCAAACGGTCATCAGGGAGAGAAAAAGGCGCGGCAGGCGGATGCGAGGAGAAGCTGCTATCGCAGGGCGAAACCAGGACAAGCGGAAAAAAGAGTCGGCAATACCAAGTCCTCAAAAAAAAGCAGGAAACGGCCGGAGATCTGAAAAACAAGAGAAAGCTAATGGGCGAGAGCGATGCTAGGTAAAATAGACAAACAGAAATAGTAAAAAAAAATTCGTGATCGTGATCGTTAACGAGGTGTGAGTATGTGTAAGTGTGCGAGATTGTGGGTGTGAGGGGAGAAGAGGTAATGCGGGTTTACTGTAAGGTAGGTAATAGGTCAAGTAGGGCCAAGTTCGATGGAATACTACTAGTAGTAGAGCAATAGCAGAGCGAAGGTAGGGTATAGATGCCTAGATGGTAGTGGTAAGGGTAGTGGTGGTGCTGGTGGTTGTTGTAAGTATGTAGTAAGTAGGTATAGAGTCTTAAGAAGATGCAAGACCTAGAAAGCAGAATCATCACCATTCAAGGAACTCAAGGACCGTCCGCCAGTTATTGGCCTTTCACGTTTCCTTCGAGCTCTGCCGCTCCCCTCCTCTGGCATCCAGCCAATCACCATCCGTCCCGCCCTTCTCCGCCCGCACCATCGTTTTTCCTGCTTTTTTTTCCCCTTCTTAAAAGAAAATCCTCTCTTTTTCTCCCTCTTCTTTTCTTCTTCTTTAACAAAACCCAAGACCACCGACTCAAATCATCGCTGGCTGCGTATCGTTCTACCGCTTCCACTGCTCTGGCGATTCCGATGAGTGCGTCGAGATGAATCCTCTACAGGATCCCCGCGTCTAAAACCATCATCACGAGGGCTTTCCAGCTACCCATGATGCGGTGATGACCTGATCGACGGGACATTCCACCCTCTAGAATACCCATTTATTTACTTTGATCCAATATGATTTGGTTCCAATTTTGCAGCAGCTATACACCTTCTTGAATTTACTCTGTGGTAACAAATAACGATTCATGTTCGTTTGTAGAGCCGGTGCGTGTGTTCCTTTTCGTCCTCCGTCGTGGGCCACGTTGGCTTTTCCTGTTTGTGTCCTCCTTGCATGCATGACGAAGCACTCGTACTCTGGTAATCCGAGGTGCTCAACCGCCTCTACCCTGCTGTAATGGCCTGGCTGGTTGAGCGTGAGGTTCAATGGCAAAGTCTGACTGTCGCAAGACGCCAAAACACTTCATGACTGCCTTTTGTTTCTTCATTTCTCTGTTGCTGACAATGGCTTCACGTAGTAAGTAAGTTCTGTCCTCCATTTTTCTGGATTCTCTTGGAGCTTCAATGCTCTAATTATATGACTCGTCCCTCTTAACATCTTGCAACACGACGGAGCAGGTTGTCCGTCTGTCATCCGCTGCTGTCATCTACCGGGAAAAGAGTATGATTATCTTTCAATGTCTTTTCGAACAACTTGGATCGAATCGAAGCTAAGTCTATACATTTGCCTGTCACACAGGCTCTCAATTCTCAATTCGTAATAGAAGGATATCTTAGCTAGATCGAATCAGTAGATCCTGCTCATGCCACCCATTGAACCACAAACTTAGAGTACTTTCTCTCGCTTCCTCTTCCATTCAGACAGAGCAGGCAAGATTCAGAGCAGGATGTTTGCTCGTAATATGAAGACGAAAGTCTCATCAACACCTGATGCCTGTGGCGAGTCAGGCAGTGGATTATGTAGTGCCACTTATGTGGTGTCGCAACGACAAAGACAATTCCATGATGAGTATGGAGCATATATGCGGCGCAGAAGAGCACAAAGCATGAATCTACTGTTCAGTAGGCTGGGCCGAGGGCTGTGGGTTCTCCTCCACGTCTTGCCTGACGCGCTTCGTCTCCCTTTCGCTTTGCGGAGCCGACAAAGCGGCTTTCCTTTTCTCTTTATCTTTTTGATACTCTGCGCGACGAGCTTCCTTGTCCTTCTCCTTGCGCAGTGCTTTGGACTCAAATTCATGCCAGTCGCCCTCGATATTTTCCAACCTGCAACTGTTAGTCATAGTCCATCTGAGAGAGATACTTAGCAGACTTACTCGATAGCTTGTTGCGGAGCTGGCTCCTCTGACACAAAATAGGAGTGCGTCAGTACTTCCTCAGCTGAGGGTCGCTTTGTAGGATCGTATCGGAAGATCTGAGAAACTAGGTCCAAAGCCGCTGGTGATAGTACTTCGCGGTATACGTCTTCAAAGACTCGCTTCTTGCGCTCCGTCGGCCGCATGAGCTCAAACCAGGGCATCTCCACGAGGTCAGGCCATTCAGCTCGCGTAGGCGTTCCAAGAGAGGCATAGAGCTTTTCAAGCTGACTGATTTCGCCCCCTTCTCCGGGAAAGACAGCCTTCTTTGTAAACAATTCGACAAACACACAGCCCGCGCTCCAAACGTCCACGGCAGGACCATATCTGGTCTCTCCGAGAAGAAGCTCCGGTGGCCGATACCAGATCGTGATCACACGGTTGGTGTAATCCAGTTGGCGGCTCTTAGAGAAAAACCGCGCCAATCCGAAATCTGCGAACTTCAACAAGCCCCTATTGCTGATGAGGATATTTGCTGCCTTGATGTCGCGGTGCAGAACGCCCCGGTGGTGGAGGTAGTTCAAGCCGTCAAACATTTGCTTGGCGAGATCCTTCTTGTGAGCAGCGGTGAGGGTGAAGGTCGGGTGATTAATGAGACCTGTGAGATCGTGCGAAAGGTATTCGAAGACCATAAAACACTCATTCCTCTCGACCATAACTTCGAGTAAACTGACCACATTATGGTTGCGAAGGTGCTGCAGGAGCTTGATTTCTCGGACAGCCGTAACAGGGAACCCGTCTTTCTCGCCTTCCATACGTATCTTTTTGAGAGCCACCTTCCTTTGGGTATAGACGTGTATTGCTTTAAAGACTTTTCCGTAGGTGCCAGCACCAATGACGGACTCGTTCCCTGGCTTTCGGTAATAAACGGAATCGGACTTTGCGTACTCTTCTGGGAGAGTAGGCCGAGGCTTTGGCCGGGTTAATACTCGGGGTTGCTTCACGCCCGGAGAACGTTCCCGAGGACCGCGAGGTGGACGAGGGTCCTGCCGACGATCATCTTTCCTGCCTTCGTGTCGCTGGTCAAAGCGGCGATCTTCTTTTCGGTTGTCGCGAATATCTCTAGGCTCACGGAAATCACGCGGCTCTCGTCGAAAATCTCTCCGGTCGCGTCTCCCTCTGTCCCGGTCACGATTTCGGTGCCGATCCCGGTCTCTGTCTCGATCGCGGCGGTCAAAGCGTGGTTCAGGTTTGAATCGCGGCGGTGGGCCAAGAGGCACTCTGCTACGAGGAGGCTCAGCAACACGAGGTGGAGGTTCTCGAGCCTGCATCCTCTGTGCCAGATCTGGAACTGGCTTGGGGGCAGGGGCAGGAGTGGTTTTAGCTTTGAAGGCGAAGCTAAACTTGCCGCCTTTATTCGGCGTGGCGTTGGTGTCGGACGGTTGTGTAGGTCGAGACATCTTCTGAAAATCCCCATCCTCGGAACATGGTTTTGACCCTTGATCCACGCCTTGTAGATCTCTGTTCGGAGACCCGAAAGCTTGGTCTCTGTCTCCCTCCCCTGTGAAGCTCTGCTCTCTTGCCGGGAGAGGCGCAGGACTTTGTGAGGGTTCCGCATGAGTGGTATGAGGGCTGAGAGAGCCGCCGCCGCCGCGAGCACTCCACTGGAAACTGTTAAAACGGCCTCGCCCGGACGGCCCAGTATTGTAGGATGAGTGACCAGAGCCAGAAAATCGCCGGTCGCGGCCATGATTTTGGAAGTTTCCACGGTAACCTGAATGCCCACCACGGTAGGAAGGACCCGAATACGATTGAGGGTGATTGGCTGGACCAGTCGGCGGAGCTTGACCCTGATTGTACTGGTCTTGCGAGCCGCCCTGTGAAGGATAATTGTTTTGACGATATGGAGATGAATGTGAAGACCTGTTCGCAGCGTAGAGTTAGCCTCGCACTAATGTTGACGTGTTTCTGATTTAGTAAAGAAGAAAGCTCACCCTTGCGGCCTCTGATAAGGAGATTGCCCAGTCAGACCCCCACGTCCTCCAGGGTGAGGTGACGTAGATTGAGGGGATCCCTGATAGGAATTACTTGATGGGCCGTACTTTGGTGAGGTGGAGTATTGACTCGTATCCGCCTGTGGTCGTGAGGCGTGAGAGCGCTGGTTATTATTGGCATTCAATGCCCGCTCTCCATGGAAAGGGAACGTTTCACGCGCATTGGGATCTCCGTCTGCAGGGACGCCGGTAATTTCAGCATCGAAGCTGGGAACTGGTCGAGGGGGCGATGGAGATCTGAAGGAACTGTTCATCGCAGACTGGATTGGCCTAGGATTCATTGTTGCGTCAATCCTGGAGCTGCGACGCGAGGTCGCAGAAAATCTCGAACCAGCTGAGTTAATGGAATGGCGAGAAGGCGATCGATGACGATACTCTTGGTCGATGTCGTCTGCAGGGTCCGGGCTGTTAAATCGCTCACGGCGGTTCCTCGGTGACCTGGGACCACGTGGAGGGGACTTGAAGCCCTTGAAGCGATCCGATTCCTTCCTACGCCGGTCTCTTCCTCTTCTAGGAGACCTTCGACGCGCCCTGCCACGCCCCGGAAATCGCCCACGTTTTTTATGAGGGTAGCCCCGATCGAATTCGTCAAACTGCTCCGAGGCTGGATGGTGATGGCTAGGGTCTTGTTGAGGTGAGTTGGATCTCACTGGCGACGGACTCTGCGTTCTCTTTCGCTTGAATGGAGGAGGTGCAGATGGAGAGTTGTCCCTTCGATAATCTCTTCCGGTCGGTCTCTCGCCTTCCAAAGGCTGAGGCTCGACAAATTGGTGATGATCTTGATTCTGGCGTTGTCTGGGCTCAGAGTACGGCAGACCGGATGAACCACGCGGAGAGTTGTTATTGGGAGAGAATTCACGATATGAATGAGGTCCTCCAAGCTCTGATTGGGGATGAGCACGCGAAGGTGGCGGCGACCGTAACGGGGGAATAGGCCCGTTCCCTTTGGACCGGCGACGACGCTCCCTGTCGCGGAATCTGTCCCTCCCTCTATCACGGTTCGACCCTCGAGGCCTCTGCCTTCCTCTGTCCCTCTGATCTCTGGTCTCAAATGGGGCGCTCCACTGGTCTCTCAACAGCGGACTGTTACGGGACCCAGCCATGAAAACTTCTTGAGGTGCATCTGGTTTTAAAAACTAGTTATAGTATGAAATAAAGGCAGTTGGCACGGGATGAACCCGCCGACTGGAGAACGGATGAATTAGCGTGTAAGTGTGATCGTAGGATATTCCGGTGGAGCCTTGTCCTTCGTCTAGTCAATTCGGAGCGTGTGTCGGCCGCGTTCACTTTTGGTAAGTCTTGTCGGGCGGGAAAGAAACATGAATGGAAAATGCGGAGGGTGGTTTTTCCGAGGTGGGAAGGGCCCTAGTTGGGAGTATATCACTGTGAGTAGTGCGCAGTGACAAAAAAAGGACAGAAAAAAAAGTAAGGGAACATGAGAACGCAAGCTTCTCAGTCAAAGGTAAGGATTAGCGGGGAAAGCCTGGGTGGAAAATCCCCTGAGAGAAGACGCACCTGGGGATTTCGCTCAAACAGAAAAAGGCCACACCTCAAAATTATGTGACTTGTGAACAGTAACTGCCACGCCGACCAGTGACGGTACTGAGTCTACTAGTTGTTCATCTATGCGGTAAGGCGTTGCGTGGGAAGTCGTTCGAGCCATCATGTGTACGCCTGACATAGCACGAGTGCACTTGACGAGTCGACAAGCTAATACTCCGCTCTTCCCACAGTTGAGCTTCCACTGCCATGTTTGCCTGACACACTGTCGGATCTACTACGAATGTTGCTCGATGAACCCTGGCTTCAAGCAGAGGGTGATGGAAGACCGAGTCACCATAAGTACAATGCTGCTCCCACGGGTTTGCTCACTCAGCTTGGCCAGCATCGAACACTGTCCTTCAATGAAGAAGCGCCCAATTATGCCTCGAGTTTGGCCGGTACCATCGGCTAGAAATGGCAGAGCCTGGAGATCGTTGACGCCCTGTTTTTCTCACTCTTTGCTCTTTCCGTGTCTTATCTCTCCCTTAACCAACCTCAGGAAATGTGATGCCCGAGCTGATGCTCGTGCGTCATTCTTTCCCAGATGGTCAGCTTTCAGATTCTTCCCGTGCCTGGCTCAGGAGCCTCTTGCCTGCGAAAGACATCTTTCGTTGCTCCAATGGTTGGGAAAAAGCCCCTATCTACGGCAAGCAAAAGACAAGCAACGGACAGCGTGACCAGGGAGACGCTCAAGGACGTTTAGGACTAATCCCGTCAACGACGTCTGAGTGCAAGACCATGACCCTCCCTGGTTTTGTTAGTACTTGATCATCAGCCTAAGCTGCAATGGAACCCTCAAATAAAGTCGGTTCTAATCCGCTGCCACCTGTATGCGCTCAGTGGACGAGACATCTTCAGCTGTGCCCAGAAGGGATCGCCTGTCCGGAACTTCTTATCGATCCACAAAATGGGTACATCAGCAGAGTGATACTTGGTCTTTGCTGTTGATATCTACCCATGAACGACAAAAACACACAAACAAGTCGACATATGACCTAGATCATCCGTCTTTTACTGCGAATATTCGCATGTTGGTGAACTTCAGGCGAAGCTGGTAAACCAGAATTTGACTGATAAAGGTACAGTGGAAGCTCAGTATACTTAGCCGAGTTCCTTGTCACTCCGTGAGAGACTGTCTGTGCACTTGATCTGTGGGCTAGTCTTTGTACTAGCAGTCCTCACATCTTGAATGCAATCATGTGAGAAGCATACCTGGTGAATGATCACTGAAACAAACGTGGGTTTCTGGAATGCGTGATAGAGCGATAAAATCAAAAATGAGAACACGGTTTTCCGTAGAAAGTTCACAGTCCTCCCAGGCAGCGTCGTTGCAATTCAACGTCTTGGTACGTGGTGTTGATGTGCGGAACAACGGACATGGTGGGCTGGGTCACGGTAGTGCCGAGGACTGCCCGGCTGGCGATCAACGACCATCCCAAATGTGACAAGCATCAGAAAAAGATACAGTGGTATTCTCCCCTCCTGATCCGAATTCTATCTTATGGTGGTATGTCATATCTTGGAACCTATTGGCAAGTATACGAGACGATGGTTGATGGTGTCCGTTGGGAGAAGGTCAAGTTGTGGCTTCCAATTCCTGTTCAGACTTGCGGAGACAAGAAAAGCCGCTCCGGCGGCACGTGATTTGACCTGGCCCCCTCCAACAGCTGTTGACGGAGAATGGTCGAGTACTTTTCATTTTAACAGGTCTAGGTAAATTCGTACAAAAGATGAATCTTACATGGTGCTATTTAGAAGTGTCGAGTACTACTTACATCGTCCGCTTTGAAAGAGCGCTACCATATCTACACTAACAGAAACCGCCGGAATCACCACAAAGCTGCCCCGATTCCCCCAATCTTAAGTCATCATCTACATGTCTTGAACGTAACAGGCCTTGTTGTACCTCAGTCATGCAGTCGTTCAGTCATTAAGTCATTTCACGTTCACGACCTGCATCCAAGGCAAGTTCTCAAACTCCTTCATGATCTCCTCATGCCACCTGTATGGTGAAGCAACCTCCTTGGGCTCAAGCTCATCGGATAGAATAATGTCCACATACATACGCTGCATGTCAAGGTTCCGGTCCTTGATCTCTCTCAAAACAAGCTCGTCTGGTCGCTGAATTTTGACATTTCTTGCCATTCGGCCGTATCCTTCCCACTGTAGGGAACCGACCTCATTGGGTGGCACGCCGAAAACAAACAAACCCGCTTCATGTGTCCGGGGAATATACTGCCAGCGCACGTATGCCTTGAGTGTCTCGTAATGCGTAGTCAACGCGCTGTCCCTGAGTACATCCCACAGCAGAGTCAAGCTGGGCTGGGCCATGAGCAGGCGTCTCATGCTACCTTGCTTCTTTCTCGCGCGGCTGTCCGTGAAGAGCATATCCAGCTGCACGATGAAATAAGCTGCGAGGAATAGGTCGCTGTCAGTCCACAGTGTCTTCTTTCTGATTGTCCAGGTCCGACGTCTGTTGTCCGGAATGTCCATCAAGAACCAGAGCTTCTTCACAATTGTGGCACATCTGTTGGGTAGTTTCCAGCCCTTGTCAGCCATGCGCTCCATGATGTCCTTGACGATTGCCTCGCGGTACAGGACCATCTTCAACCACCGGACTGAGGGTATGATGTACGTTGCATCGTTCAATTTCAGGCCGGGTGGCGCCGACCAGCGATCACAAAGTCGATTATAGCAAAGGAACGGAAATGTGCACAGTGATTCGGGCGCTTTCTGTGCCGCCTTACGCATGACGATTATTGCCAGAACGCTCCTCACAAATTGATGGACACGCTTGCAGCTAAGATGCAGATTGACCACATCCTCTATTTCAAGATGATCAAAAACCAAAAAAGCCATAGACGGATGGCAAATGAGGGACTTGAGCATGTTGTAATTATCACGCCTGCTGCTTTTGCTTTCGTTGCGAGTATGATGTGCGGCGTTGTTTGAGCTCTGCGCTGCGGCAGTCGGTAGGGCCGAAGATTGTCTAGTGTCTGTGCCATTCGATGCAGATCTATGCCCGCCGTTGGGAGGCTGAGGCGCAGTATGCGGTTGGGGAAGCAGACGCCTGTGTCCGGTTGCCTCGAGTACGGTCTTCCGAATGCCAGTATGGTCAACTTGATTTGCAAGGACCTCCTCAGGCTCAGGAGACTCGGTTTTGATTTGGGGTGTTTTGCGCGACGGACGAAGAGACCCAGCAGTCTTCTCAAGATTTCCATTATGTCTCGCTGGCATATTATTTGCTGGCATGTTCATATTTCTTTCCGCTATAGTCCTGGCGGGTAGAAAATATGGGCCTTGAGGCTGCTGCCCATTGGGCTGCATAGCCGCTGGTAAGACCACTCGGTTCTCAGCAGCCAGGTTTGCATCTAAACCAGCCATTGCTGCTGCGTTAGGATGATCTCTGTTCAAGGGTCGTTGAACATGAAATTGGCCAGCTTCCTGTGGCATCATAGGCCCATTAGGAGGACAATGGCACTGGGGTGCTCTAGCGGTTTGAGCAGGAATACCAGGAGCAACGGCAGGATAAGGAACCCCAGGTGCAGCCGTAGGTGCCGGGACATTGGGCATGTTCTGCTGAACAGGCAACATCGGAAATGGGTGAAACACGCCGTTGAATGTCGCGGGAGGTATGACAGGAGCATAAACACCTTGGTTCGTTATCTGCACCAGCGGTGGGACGGCCTGACGTCCATGCTGCGGTGGTCCTCTCATCATGATAATGTCTCGGGGCGCCACACCTGCAAGGATCTGCTGTCTGATCAGATATGCCTGCAGCGCCTCCTGGCCCGTCAAAGCAACTCGCTGTGCTGCGGCTGGGTTACCGTTCCAATAGGGGCCCGCTTGCATTGCCGGCACGGCAGCACTCGCCGGTTGCTGTGGAACATTTTGGGGAATCTGTATCCTACCACCTGCCTGCGCCAATGCCGTGTTCTGACGAGGACGAGGATTGGCATTCGCGGGCACACCCCGGTTGTTCTGCATTTGGTAGCTACCCTGATCGTTTTGTGTCTGCATGTTTGTGTTTGAGGGCTGCCTCGGGCCTGCTGCGCGCTCTCCATACCCCCTGGAGAGGAGGATTAGAGCTTCGCCGGCCTCCAACTCATCAGGAGTGCGTTCAGGCCTGGTAGGTGCTTTGGACTGTTTGCGGTCCGCTAAATTATACCTTGTTGTTAGCGGCAATCCTTTCCCTATTCCATGAGCACTTGGAGTCAACTCACTCTGAATAGTTCGTGCCATTGGTGTCTACTCGCAAACACTCGGGTGCGAAGGGAAAGACAGACGCGTTGTTGGTAAATGAGCACTGTCTACAGGAAATGCCGAGAAAGAGACTGACTTGAAGGAAATGTTTGTTAGGAGATACAAAGGATGGGTAAAGGCGCGTCAAGAGAAGAGCGATAAACAAGAAAGAGAAGTAAACAAAGGACTCGAGATCATCGTGTAGTGAATTTGACATGCGTGTTGAAAGTGAATATCCAAAACACCACCACCTGACTAAGACCAGCGGTCCAAAACAATGCATGAGCCCTCACTGCTGCGTCACCACAGTAGAAGATGG